TCTATGTGCTCACCTGGAATCCGGAGGGACCGGGGGCTCCTTGCTCTCCCCTCTCTCCCGCCGGACCCTGCGGGAAGGACGATGGTGAAGGACTCCAAAATTTCTCGGGGTTCGGGCTTCACCACCCCCACCCCAGAATTTTGGGGAGTCACAGGGAGTTGGGGGGGAACCTGACATCCCCACAGCCCCACACCATGAGGGACGGGGAGCGTGGGGAGGGGGGGGCTCCATCCCCAGGATGGGGAGTTTCCTCAAATCCAGACCCCTGACCCCCCCCCGCCTCCAATTTCCAGGGGGTCCCACAAGGTGGGGGGCACTCACGGCAGGTCCTGGGGGGCCAGCAGCTCCTGTTTCGCCATCCTTGCCGGGGAGACCCTACAGAGGAGAAAATCCAACCGCTGCGATGACACAGACCCCCCCCCTTCTACCCTCTGTGCCTCAGTTTCCCCACTCGCAGGTGCCTCGGGGGGGCTGCGATGCTGAAGAAACCCCAAAATGTGGGGTTTTGGGGTGCAACGAGGGAGGGAAACCAACTCACCCGCAACCCCGGGGCACCGGGGAGTCCTTTCTCACCAGCTTTTCCAGGCTCACCCTGTGGGGGGAGGAGAGAGGGGACAGTGATGGGCTCTGACCCCCTGGAATAGAGGGGGGACAGCCCCATTTTTGGGTGGAAATGGGACAATACTCACATTAGCACCTTTGGGACCAGGGAAACCCATCACGCCAGGCTGGCCGCGAGCACCCTGGGGGCCGGGGGGGCCGGGGCGACCGTCCTCGCCGGGGGCACCCTGTAGGGAGGGGGGACATCAGCAGGGACCACCCCGGACCCCCATGTCCCCCCCACCACACGCCACCCCCCCACGGAGCATCACTTACGGTTGGACCGACTTTGCCTTGAGGTCCAGCATCTCCTGGGCGGCCAGTGAGACCCTGGGGGGAGGGAAGGAATTTGGGGGGGCTGGGGTGGCCGAACCCCCATGTGGGGGGGACACTGGGGACCCCGTCCTGCCCAACTGCTCTGGGGTCTCCCAGGGGTCTGCCTGACCCCAGGAGCTGCCCTGAAATTCGTCTTGGCTCACCCCAGAGAGCGTCTTAACCCCAAAAAGCATCTTTTCCAACCCCAAAAGCATCCCAACTAACCCCACAGAGCATCTTAATTAGTACCGACCAACATCTTAATTAGCACCCAGGAGCATCTTTGTTAATCCCAAAGAGCATCTTCGCTAACCCCAGGAGGCATCTTCACCCCAAGGAGCATCTTCACCCCAAGGAGCAGCATCTTTGCCAACCCCAAATACATCTTAATTAACCCTGAAGAACTTCTTAATTAGGACCAGCTTTGCAAGCCCCAAATTGCCCCTTCTCTAACCCCAAAACGCCTCTTTGATAACCCCACAGAGCACCTTAATTAGCAGAGACCACCTCAACTGGCCCCAAAGAGCATCTTCATTAGCCCCAGAAAGCAGCAGAACCAACCCCAAAGAGCACCTTATCGACCCCAAAAGCACTTTATCCATCCCCAAAACACCTTAACCAACCCAAAAAGTACCTAATTGAACCTGAAAGCATCTTATCCACCCCAAAAGCACATTTTCCAACCCCAAAAGTACTTTATTGATCCCCAATTCAACTTCTCAATCCAAAAAGCAACTTATTCGCCCCAAAAGCATCTTACTGACCCAAAAAGCACCTTAACCAACCCCAAAAAGCAATTAATCGACCCCAAACCCCACCCTTTTGACCCCAGAAGCACCTTATCCATCCCCAAAACATCTTTTCCAACCCCAAATACATCTTCTTGATCCCAAAAGCACCTTTTCCAACCCCCAAAGCATCTTATCCATCCCAAAAGCACCTTAACCAACACCCAAAAGCAACTAATCGACCCCAAACCCCACCTTTTTGAGCCCAGAACTACCTCATCCACCCCAAAAGCACCTTTTCTAACCACAAAAGAACATTTTTGACCCCAAAAGTGCCTTCACGACCTCAAAAGCACCTTTTCCAACATCCAAAGCATCTTATAGATCCCCAAAAGCACCTTAACCAACCCCCAAAGGCAACTAATTGACCCCAAAACACACCTTTTTGACCCCAGAAGCACCTTATCCTCCCAAAAAGCACCTTTTCCAACCCCAAAAGCACCTTTCTGACCCCAAAAACACCTTTTTCACCCCCAACCCCCCCCCC